CGGCTCAGCTCAGGAAAGGAAGCCCTTTCCCCGCCTCGTCTGCGCAGAGCCGTGCTGTCGTGGGGTGCCTCGGAGCGGGCTGCGAGGCGGGAGGCCTTTGTGTGAGGGGAATGGTGAATGCCTCAAGGTGGGGAGCTGCCTCGGAGAAAACGTAACGCCTGGGCTCCCTAAGGTGGTTAGCTGATGCTAGTGTCTTACGGATTGTCGGGGGGGGTTTTTTTTTTTTCCTAAATGACGTTCAGTTTTGCTTTTTATTAGCCGCGTAAGATGTTCTGGTCCCCTGCTGTTTGTTCCTGCTACCTCGATGCTGCGTTTGTAGCTTCATAAATGGTTCACTTGGTATGACTGACCTTTTTATGCGCATCAGCTATGAATGGAAACTTTCTCCACCGGCTGATAGTCTGCTTTGGCAGGGTCTTGCCCTCCGTTTCCTTTTCCTGCAAGGACATTTCTGCTTGCTTAGTTGTGCTGTTTGACCAGTGGACTTTTCTTGTGGCAGTGCATTAAATGAAGCGGGCAAGAACTAGTGGTGATCAGGTGGGATGCTGAAGAGTTCTGTTCTGTTGTTGTGTTCATTTTTTTCTAAATTTGTTTTTTAAAAAATAAACTCTATTTATTTTTTAAATATCATTCGTATGATCATTATTTGTGCGTACAAAGCAAAATCAATGATTCAGCCTATCTGCTGTGATTGCAGGCACTTCTGTAAAATAAACTGTGTCGTATGACTTACTGTATGAAGTTTTGCTTTTTTATCATCTCAGAAACAAATATGGTCTCTTTTTAAATTATAGGTTCTTGAGTGTGGAGTCTGTGAAGATGTATTTTCTTTGCAAGGTGACAAAGTTCCCCGGCTGCTTTTGTGTGGCCATACTGTCTGCCATGACTGTCTTACCCGGCTTCCCCTTCATGGCAGAGCAGTTCGTTGTCCTTTTGATCGACAAGTTACTGAACTAGGTAAGAAAATGTAAGTCTAAAGTTCTTAAAACCTGTCAGCCAAGGATATCTAGAAGATAATGCTAGATATAGATTCTTAATGCTCTGCTTAGTGATATTTCCAAGTAGTGAATGTGCAGTGTTCCTGTTCATTCAGAGAAGCTCATAGCACTGTTAAGCACTAGTAAAATAGGTATCTTAGGAAAAGAAAGTCAAGATTTTATCTTTATCTTCTTGAACCTGGGCTTGCAAGCTTTATACCTTAAAGTCTTTTTGTACACCTATATTTACAAAGGGACTACTCTATTTTATTAGTGTCTAAGGGTTCCTGAATGGTTATTAGTTCCCTGTTATCCTAAACAGTAAATAAACCATGCAATTAAATAGGTAGTTTCTTTAACAAACAGATTTGTCTGGATTCATGATGGAGTGATATAGAGGGAAGTATCAGTGATAACAAACCTGTTTTCTAAAATGTAAAGTAATTCTATATATACAGTAACTAATAGTGGCAGGCTATCAACAGGAATTCCCCTACTGTAGGAGTGTCCGCAGATAGTATTTGAAAGGATAAGATACAGCTTTTATCCAACAGTGGCAGTTTATTTTAGGCAAAAGATGACATATGCTTATAATTCCTTCAGAATAGGAATTGCCTGTTCAATATAGGGTTACAGAGAAGATCGGTTATCAGAAGAATTTGTACTGAGAAGAACTTGTTAATAGAACTGGCTCCAGCAGTTTTGAATAGCACAGGGGAAAAAAGCTGTTGGAAGGAGGAGAATCCTCAAGGAAGATTGCTAATCTAGTAATCCAGGAAAGAAATCTTTAAATAGCAAATTTGATTGAATAAGAATTTACTTTGCAGTAAGAGAATCTGCTAGATTGTAGACCAAACTGAGAGGAATATTAAGGCACTGCACAGCTGCACGAGATTTCTTAAAGTATGCTTTTAAGGGGGAGAATGTTAGAGCACAAGACTCAGTCCTGCTGTGTGAAACATTTCATCCAAGACCACAGCTTCTATCTTGTAAAGTAAAAATAGCATTTTTATTATGCTAGGGAACTTGTCACTTCCTAGTTTTCATTGTGCATTTTTTTCCCAGGCATCTGAAAGTATCGTATAATAAATTTTTGTGGGTTTCAGGTTTAACAAAAATGAAGCTTTATAAAAACATATAAAGTTTTTTCATCTTACGTAATACTGAGGAGCTTCTGATGAAACACAGTGAAATGTTATTAAACTTGTAAGGCTCCTACAAATAGGAAGAGGGAAGAAAAGCTTCAGCTTTTGTGTCTAGGTTAGTAGCCTTGCATCCTACTGGCTAGTACTAGAAAGAAGGATGATATACTGTGACCAGCAGTTGCTCAAAAAACTGATAGTTAGAAAACTTTAGCAAAACAGCTTGAAAGTAAAAATAATTCTGTGAATAAAAATGTTCTGCCTGGTGATTTGAGGCAGAAATCTTAAGAAGTCTTAGAAATATTATTGCTTCCAGTGTGTAAAAATGGGGTGTTTGGTGGAGTGCAGCTCGTCATGGCCCCCCTTTGAGGCATCTGTGCATTTGTTGTCTTCTCTAATCACCTAGTAGTCACTGGTGTTGGTTAAATCTGCTGTGCTTGTAGTTCTGTTTCCTTCTGAGAGCTCAGGAGTGGAGCTGGGAGGGAGGCATGGTGACTCTGGGCCTAGGGAACTTATCCTTCGCTCCCCTCCGTTTGAGGGCATGAGAGAAAGCAAGCTCCATTGTCACCCACTTCTGCTATTGCCATTCAGCCATTTAATGAGGTAGTCACAGGAAGTGTTCAGTATCTAAATCTAGATTATAGTATTGCTGCCAAGAGAAAGTTCTTTGAAAGAAAAGCTGTATAATCAGGGTGTAAAGCTACTTGTGTTGAAAAAATTTCCTTAACTGGTAACTGTGGATTTTACGGATACTTTTAGTTGGTCGTTTAACCTATACAGTTCAGCAGATAGACTTGTTTGTTTTCCTTTGCTCTTATTACTAAATCACTTAATCCTGTATTTGTCCAAAGTTTCCCCAGGAATCTTGGGAACTTTTTGAAAGAAATACTCAGGCATCTATATATGTATAGATATAGCTGTATTTTCTCCCTTCTGAAGTAGACACTTGGTTTAAATTTACAGGCCTGTCTCTTCTACATATATATATAAAACTGTGTGGGAAGGCAGGGTTAGAAGTACTTCGTCAATCAGGATTTCTGGAAGTACGGAGTCTGCAAGTGAAAACTGACAACAAATCACTTATATGCTTAGCAAAATATTCTAATAATTCATAAAATCTTACTATGAGAGAAAATATTTAGTAATGAACTGGTAGGACTAAAGCCTGCCCGAATTGTATTACTTTGCAGATTTTGGGGTTTTTTTTGAAAGTTCTTTAATGAAGTTGCCTGTAATTAATCTTCTAGTGGAGAATTTTAAATGAGTATGTGCATGTTGAAGTTACGTGAGGTGTCTAGTGGTTATCTTCAACTGGATTGACATTCTTTAACCAAAAAGATGTAATGGAAAAGCTTTTTCAATTTTCAAAATCTTGACACCATATATTCTGGAGATTATGTTGACTCAGGCAGTATATTTAGGGAAAAAATTATAAAGCGGTCTTTGTAGAAGAAGAGACTCTTCTTAAAGCCTTTTCCTTAAAGTATCTTGATTTGGGAGAAGAGATGAATCATTTCTTGCAAACTGCTTTCTCTCTTCTTCCTGCATTGGGTTAGTGGGTTGTTTTTTTTTTTTAAATATATGGACCAGGGAACTGTTGGGAAGGATGTGCTTATGTAATAGCTTTTCTGGCTTTTGATTTTAGTTGAGCAGCTCTGCTAAGGAAGCCTTTAACAGTTTACGGCTCAGGTGAACTCTCCCTACCATCATCACATTACAGGGCTGAAACTATTTTCTATCATGAGAACTTGTTGAACTGATGTATGCAGGTGTTGGCATCCTTCATGGAATCCATCCCATTGGTATTGTTTACATTTATATATTCTTTTGCTAGTGTTTGAGTGCTAAGATAAAACTTCAAAACTTTGTGCAAGAAAATGACATATAACATATAACATAACATTCTCTCGACTTTGTTCAGAGATTTAGACAAAAGTTGCTCCTTTATTACTTGCATTATTTATAATCCTTTTGCAGACAAGCTTCATTCTTTTGAAAATGACATTTGTATTGTTGGCTGGAGTCGGTCTTAATATCTTCACTCTGTCACTATCTCATTCCTGGCTGACACACTTCCTGCTATTCATGTCTTATTCTTCTTTTGAGAAGAGACAGTAAGATTGTGTAGTGGTTTAATGATGGGCACAAACATCCCTTGTAGGCACAAGGATGAGATCACTAGACTCTTTTACATTTGTGACCAAAGCAGAATTTAAGCTAAAGTCCAAGAGATTAAATAGATGTATTTACATGACTCATCTTTTAGTGTTTTTAAATATAAAATAAACACTTCATCAGATGTGTTGAAAATGTGTATGTTGGGTATGTAGTAATTTTATAGTAGGTTTAGTGTAAAAAGAAGCGAAGTGGCTTTTTCTCAAATACGTAAACTTTGTGGTAGATACCAGTGAAATGTATGACAATGCATGTTTTATAGGGTGTTTACTGGTTATAAATTCTGTTTTAGTAGACTAATAGTTGATACATAAACTTTGCCTGTTTTTCCATCTGTGTCCAAGATCAACAGTGCACTGACAATGTATAACACGTATTAGCAAATCTCAGGATACATAATAGAAAGTTAAAGAAAGAATGTAAAAGCAGTGTAATTTTGTTTCTCCTGACAGCTTTAAGTTCGGAACTAGAAAATAAACACAGAATAGCTGCAGACATATCTTTTCTGATCTTTTCTGTTGGTTACATTTCAGTAAATTAGTCCTGCTTTGACTTTTCTGGCTTGGCTTTCTCTTCATGCTAGACATGGAACAGAACTAACATGATTAAAATCAGGTACGAGAGTGTAAACTGAGGAGAGTACTTCTTAGCTTGTTTTTTTTTTTAATAAACATATTAAAACCTGTGAAAGAAAGTACTTTTATAAGAAACTCTATAGTGATTGAACAGCTTCTTCCTCTCTCAGCCTTATCCAACATTTGCTTAAAGGCTAAGACAATGTTTGCTTAAAGGCTAATTTGCTATAATCTATTTCATAAGTAGGTTTGCCCTTTTGGTGCGTGTACATCCATATATACTCTGCTATTAATGGCTATCTGGATTAGTGGTTAATCTGGAGATACGAGGTCCACATTAGTATCAGCAGTCATTGTATTGGTGTGTTGTTAATGTATTTTGTATACTGTAGTAACTGAAGGTTGTGCACAGTCAGTTTGCTACAGGACAGTGCTGTCCTAAACACTGTAGAAGAGAATCATCTAGCCACTTTTTTGTGCTTTGCTTTCTGGGAGTTAGTGTCTAGAAATCTGCCTAGATACAGTGTCAGCAAATGCAGACTCCATTTACAAACTGGCTTGACATAGTTTAGATTCTAAAAGTGGATATTGCGCTCTGTGTTTCTTCAACTTGTAATAAGAGGTGACTCTTTCTTGCTCTGTGTTATGAAAAACACTGTCATCCTGCTAGGAGTGCTAGAGCTAAAAAATAACTGAACTCTGAAGTCAGAATATATCAAGGCAGATGACTGTGCTGGTGCTAACTGTAATTGTGGAGGACCAGAACATAACTTCTGTAAACTTCTTTAGGATCTGTGGCAAACAAAGGTTAAAATACTTCTTTTTTTGTTTGCAATTTATTTTGTGGAGTGCACTGAGCTTAGATTGGGTGTTGGTAATGCTGTCTGTACCAGAGAAGGCTTCCACTGTGGAACTGATAACTGCAGAGAGCACTGACATGCCCTTGCTTTATACCTAACTTCAAAATACTAACCAGTACCTTGATAGGCCCATTTCAGAAACAGCAGATTTGCCAAAATGAATGGTCTTTTACTGGTAAGCATTTTTTTAAACAGATAGTCAATGTTGTTTTGTACCAGTTGAGGGTG